GCGATGTTGATATAGCAACATCAAGCGAAGCGATCACACTTTTTCAGGATGTGTCAAGCGAAACCAATAATTTTGGGAGGCAGACTCAAACGAAACGAGCAATGTTCTTATTATTATTCTACTTTCCTCTTCTTCTTTTATATTTCTATCTGTCCTCACGCTCGCCTGAACTTTTTTATCCCTGGGGTTGATTATCCATGGAAAATGAAGCACATGAGCTACCCTACACGAGCACTTAAAAAAACAATTTTCATAAAGCGTTTGTAAATTAAAATTGATAGATTTGGAACTTTGGATTTTTCCTTTCTTCGTCCTCTTCTTATTCTCCTCTTCTTCTTCTTTCTTATTATTCTTCTACTGTATTCTTCTTCTTTTATATTTCTCTCTGTCCCCACGCTCGCCTGAACTTTTTTATCTCTGGGGTTGATTATCCATGGAAATTGAGGCACATGAGCTACCCTACACGAGCACTTACAAAAAACAGTTTTCATGAGAGATAAGCCATTGTTGAGGATATTTCTATGAAAACTAAACGCCAAGGGTGTCTCAAAACGTGCTCGGCTTGGTCTCCTCTTGATCATCTCTTACTTCGAGATTATGCTGAGGCCTGCTGGGCTACTTTTTTTATCTCTCCCTGAACCCCGAACTTTATTATCCCCTAGTGTTTATTCTCACGGGCATGAGGTTATAATCTTCCAGATCTGGACTTGGAACTGAGACTTGGAACCATAACTGGAAACCGAACCAGAGCTGGAGCCCGAGCCGGAGCCGGAGCAGCAGCCGGAGCCGGAGCCCGAGCCAGATTTGGAACCGGAACCGAAATCTAGATTTGGAATTGGAGCCAGAACAGTTCCAGTTTCATTTCCAGTTTCACAGTTCCAGTTCTTTTTTCATTTGTTTACTTGCACCCGACCTGGAACCAGAACTGAAACCAGAGAGGAACCAGAACCGCAGTCCAATCCGGAATTGTAACCGGAACTGGAGCTGGAACAAGCGTCGAAGCCAGTGCCGAAGCCGGAGCCGAATAATCCAGAACCAGAATCGGAATTGGAACCGGAATTGGAACCCGAAATGGAATTGGAAATGGAATTGGAACCGAAGCCGGAACCAGAGCCAGAGCCAGAGCCTGAGCCGGAGCTGGAGCCAGAGCTTGAGCCGGAGCCGGAGCCAGAATTGGAACCAGAACCGGAAGCGGAATTCAGAACCGGAACTGTAACAGGAATAGTTTCAGTTTCAGTTCCAGTTTCAGTTCCAGTGCCGGACCAGAGCCGAATCCTGAACCGGAGCCGGAACCGGAACCGGAATTGGAACCTGAACCAGAACCAGAGCCGGAGCCCGAGCCGGAGCCGGAGCCAGGACCGGAACCAGAGTTGGAACTGGAACGGGATCCAGAATTGGAACCGCGGAACAGTTCCAGTTCCAGTTTTAGTTCCAGTTCCCGGATCCGGAACAGTTCCAGTTCCAGTTCCATTTTCACTTCCAGTTCCATCCTTCTCTGTGCACCCGAACTGGAACTGGAACCCGAGCCGGAGCCCGAGCCTAAGCTGGAGCCAGAGCCGAGTCCAGAAATTGAATTGGAACTGGAACCAGAATTGGAAGCGGAGTCAGAGCCATTGTAGTGAATTTTGGAGGGTGTAAGAGTTAACCCTGAGAGGCAATATTAAGAAAGCCAACCCCCTCTCTCTCCGGCGAAAGCACAACGTTCCAGCACCCTGGAAGCGTTACCCTGGCACCTCGCAACTTGTTTTGAACGCAGACGAGTCTGCCCGCCGAAACAAGCAACCGCTTGAAACATTCTCGCAATCTGGCCTCCGTGTGGTTCTGAAACAAGCGCCTCGCCCGAGACATCCTAAGAAACTGCTCTGAACGCAGTCGAGTCTGCTGTGGGGGAGTCCTATGGGGGAGTCCTATGGGGGAGTCCAATGGGGGAGTCCTATTGGGGGAATCCTATTGGGGAGTCCTACAGATTCCTATTGGGATACCGCCCGAGCCAAGGCGCGGGAATTATGTATTTTCCTTCCTTTTGCGCGGTGCTAAAGATATCGTTCCGCGAAAACTGCCTCCAATAATTATCTAATTACGGTGCGGTGCTCACGATAACCCTGGGGGGGGGTTCTCAATTGCTTACCGAGGTTAGCGGATTCAGCAAGTATTTTGCAAGTGCATGCATGCTGGTCCTCAGCCACTGCATTTTCGGCTTTGGAGTTCTTGATTTTCAGCGCGCTGGCGCAAGGCGAGCGACACCGACACATGCGCGCACAGTCTTGCGTCGCTGCGCACAGGAAGCCAGGTGGCGGCTCACACGATTGCCCACCACTTGAACATCGGAGGCGCTATCGCGATTGATCAGCCCCCACTGCGTCTGCCTGCCTTGCAAGGTTCCGAATCCTTCTAATCAGCTACAACGGACGTCCCACGCTTCGCAAATATCCACCACGCATTGTGACGATCGCACGTGTGCATGTGCTGATATGTGCTTGCACATGACACGCCCGTATAGTGGTGGTGACGCATGGTTTGGAACCTTTTGCAAACGCCTCCGCCATGGCAGTGACGATGTCGGTCGATTGCACCAGCTGCGCGTCGTCGTCGGTTGGCATCGCGGTCAGCACGCCGAGCCGATCGATCATCGTAATGAGGGGTGTCCCAGACAGATGAAAGACACCATCGTTCCATTGACTGCAGCGTGAAACCACGCCTCCCCAACCGCCTTGCCACCACTGGCAACGGAAAACAACGCGATGTCGCGAGATTGGCAGGTCGACAGCGACGACACGCGAGCCCTCAGAACCGTGGTCGTGGAGCCATTCGGGAGACGATGGCCGACCTTCTCCTCAAGGAGCGCGTGCATCTTCTTAGGCGCCGCCCTGGGGTGCACCAGCTGCGGCGAGAAATCGTCCAGGTAGGTGCTACGTAAATTTGTGAACTGCAGGCATGTGCCCTCGGACAACACGCTCCTCCCAAAAGCTTCCAGCTGGCGCGTAATATTGCGAACCTTGTGGATTCTCGCGTATACAAAACACGAAAGAAGGCGCCGAAGACTGACCTGATGCTTCGGAAAATGGACCAGCCGATGACACTTCGGTGTCATGTACTCCTGCCAGTCGGCTGCTTCACAAGCATCTAGAAACGCGTTCGTTCTGTCCCTGACAGTGTCGCCAGACGCACGGCATGGCGCTGTAGCTTCGATGCGCCGCGCCGAATCACACAAACGAGCAAAAGCGACGCGCTCCGCGCGCGGACTCCAATGGGCCATGTTATCTTCATCGCATAAGTATACATATGTGGCAGTAACGACAATGCCTCACTCGCCTGGTACCTAAACGCTTTCGCCTTGTCGCTGGCCGTCTCGCGGCCCTTCTGGAAAAGCTCGGCCAAGTCATCGGCGCTGCCGTGCGCGGCGGTCACAGATCAAAGTCCGATGTACTCTTCGAGACCCGCAAGAAAGAACTGTGTCGAAGTGCCAAGAAACCGCCTGGATGAGGAATGGGTGCGCCCAGTCGTGGCAGTGTTGGTCAGCGGGTAAGATAATGCGATCGAGCTGCGGGTCGAGCAGCATGCTTTGCGCGTTGTAGTTGAACCCGAACGCTTGCTCGCGGATCTTGGTGGAGGCAAGTGAGCAGCGCGCTGCTCAGTCACCTACTCGTCATCCCCGCTTCCCTCCCAATCCCCCCTTCCCTTCATCATCTTCCCATCTCTCATTGTCCTCCTCTTCTTGTGGATTCCTCTTCTGTCACAGAAGGCCACGTTGAGAATTAGGAAACGAATTCACCAGAATAGGGTCAGAATAGGCTAGGGAAATAAGAAATCAATAGGAAAAAATAGCCCGACACTAAAAACATGTCGATCGTTGCATGTCAAACAGGCGGGCATATCAAGAACTGTGCAGTAAACGCAGCACAACGAACAGAATGCGTCCTCATGTTGTTGCCATGCTACTCACAATCTTGACCCCAGGTTGTTTTTGTCAGACCGTAGACGATTCGTGTGCTTATGTAAGCTGCAAGAGGCCGCAAGCGGCGTTTCAGGGCTTATGGTTTTTGTAGCAGTAACATGTGAATGCCAAGTTTGCTTGGGAGCACAATTCCCAGCCTGCGATAACAGCCCAAGTGCCTGCCAACGCTCCCGCGTGCCTGGGGGCATCACGTTTGTTTCCGAGGGATCAGGCTGTGCTGGGGGGGGGGGGGGGGGGGGGGGGGGGGGGGCTGCGTCACTGTGAATGCTATCGCCTCGGTTCTTGGTACTGCACCTTGTTAGGCTATCAAATTCCTTCACTATCCATGCTCATCCTGTCTTGCGCACCCCCCCTTTTGATAGTCGTTTCACGGATGGAGGGCGGCGGCGTGAGTGAGAGCAGGGGTGTATGCAGACATTCGGTAATTTCTTCAGTTAGGTATGTAGGAATTCCGCGTGGATGTTCGCCATGAGCCGTTGTTCTAGAATGAGAGGGGGGGGGGGGGGGGGCGTCTCGACAATAGAACCCAGAGCCGTCGAGGTCCGTCCTGGATCCAGGGGGATTTCGGATATTCTCGGCTTCCGCCCTGAATCCAGGGGGCCTTCTGACATTCTCGGCTTTCGTCCTGGATCCAGGGGGCCTTCGGACTTGAGACTCGTCTCGGCGTTCGTCCTGGATCCAGGGGGACCTTCCGACATTCTGCTTCATTGTCAGCCTGTCCATAGCCATTTTTGACCAAGCGTTTCCATTCACAGGCGATGCTGTTTCCATAGTTTCTCATTCATGAAGCTCTTCTTCCATGTGGTCTTTGGTGGTGCGACCGCCGCCCTCCATATTATCCATATCGACGTGCCGCCGACGCTGTTGAAGTCATCAGACTGTGATGTGATGTCAGAATCAGTGGAGGACGATGGCCCTTTTGCTTCTTTCGCGGTGGTGGCGAACACCGCAGAGAGTGCTGACCCTTTTGCTTCTTTCGCAGTGGTGGCAGATTCTTCGTCAGAGGACGGTGTTGGCCCTTTCGCTTCTTTCGGTGTGGTGGCAGGTTCTTCAGAGAGTGCTGGAGGTTCGGAGCCCGATCCAGATCCAGGTGGTGATGTTGCGCCAGATGCAGATCCATGTGTTGCGCCAGATGCAGATCCATCACCACGCGATGAGGTTCTACAGCCAGATGGTGGCTCTGCAGATCCAGTGCATGATGAGGTTCTACAGCCATCACATGATGAGGTTCTACAGCCAGATGGAGTGGAGTTCGCTCCTGCGCTCGAGGTCATAGCTTACGAGCCGATGTCGGAACCTCGTCGGTTGGAGGAGTCAAGCGAGTTTCTTTCCTTCTTGGGTTTATCGTCTTCGTTGGAGGGCGCTCCGCCTCGCAAGATTCGTCAGAGTGGGGTTCACGTCGTCAGCAGCTTACTTGACGGGGCGAGTGCGTCAGACAAAGCACGAGCCTCAGCAGCGAACACTCACAGTAAGAATGTGGGTGCGTTGTCGGAGTTGTTCGCTACGTGTGCAATCGTGGTCCAGCGGGTGCGGACAGAGGTGATCGTTGGGAGGCTCACCGATGCGACCATCGAGGCTGGCGGCGCGGCGCTCGTGTACGTGGAGGCCGCTCGCGGCGACGAGACGCCGCTGAGAGCATGGGCGAGATCCGCGGGAAAACTTAGCAGCCGCGAGACGGCGATCATCGATCCAAAAGCGCTGGAGGTGGAACACGTGACAGATGAAGATACTGTCAAGCAGAAGATTGTTCAGACAGAGTGGGACGGCGCAGTTGCATACAAGTTGGGTTGCGGCGATCGTTTCATGATTGTGTAGTTCTCGTTGATGACTTGGCTGCAGTGTATCAATCGTGGAACCGCCGAGTGCTACCATCATTGTTTCTCAACTGTGGGGCCTCGTTTCGATTTCGCCAAGAAGTTCGCTCGGCACATCCACATCTCCACAGCGGATAAGGACGCTGCCATCGCAAAGGCGTTCAATCGGCCTTTGGAGTTCGGCGACTGCGAGGTCCGTTTCGGTTGCCACGTGCACATTGCGAGCAGCGTGATCGAGAAGGCATCGCAGTGTCTCAAGGCTGATGTCAGTGCAATGGTGCATCTTACTTTGAGTTTAAACCAGTCTGGAGCGATGCAACACTTCAGGAAGTTACTGCGGCGCCTGGTGTCATCAGTTCAGATCGTCGATGGTGTGCCTCCAGCTTCCTTCAAGACATATCGTGATCATGTTCTGGATTTGCTGTTTGACGGGTGTGATGCTGTTGGCCGCATGAAGCGTTCTGTCATCGAGACACTGGCGAACGGCGATTGGTCCAAGAGGGGTGTAATCGAGCATTGGGCTATCATTCCTACGACTCGTGAAGCAGTTGTACATCGCTTCCAGAGGCAGTTCATTTGGGCAGTGGCCTCTGCAGCTCCGCACGTATATCCACGTCATCGGTGGACAGGGGCGGAGATCACGATGAGGTGGGTGTTGACGCTGGAGGCGTGCCATGGTATCCTCAATTCTGTGTACACTGAGTGGTACGGGAAGAAGAGGCCAACTTCTGGCCTACCCGAGCCAGGGCTGCCGGCTGCTGGGCACGGCGGCGATGCGCATCCACAGGTTGGCGCTGCAGGTGAGGCCGCTGGCGGAGAGGAGCGTCAAGCTGAGCAGCATGCACCACCAATGGAGATTATGATGTACGACCCGCAGGTTCGCAATGCTGCAGACAATCCAACGGATGCTTTCCACAGGGAGAATACGAAGTGGCGCAAGAGTGCCTACGACTGGCTTGGGCAACAACCAACACTCGCCACGATGTTGATATTCCGACGGGTACACGAAGGGCATCGTCGTCTACTGTCAGGTTATCTCAAGATGTCTGGGATCAAGTGGGGACGGAAACAGTTGTGGGATGCGATGGCGCACTTGCAACATGGAGCTAGGTTCTGGGATGCGGACAGTTTCCGTGTGACTGTTGCTCAGAGTGGCAGGCCTTCTGGGTCCCAGCTTGTCTCGAACCGCGTTCGAAGTAATGCTGCCTTGGAGGGGGTGGCGTTTTCTTGGATGATCTTTGCGCGGGCTTCTTAAGCCCGCGCAAAGGTCTTTCAAGAAAAGCATGTCGCATTGCATTGTACGTACTATGGTATTCATATGCCTTCGGCAAAAGCCCGCCACGTCGCTTGGGTTGTGGGCATGGGTCCTCCTGGGCTGTTCCTTGGGGAACCGTGCGGAGCTTCTCGGGTGCCTCTGGGATGCAGAACTGATGTCTCGCATGGGCCCCATGGTATTTTACGACGCGCCCGAATGTAGCAACTTATATCCATGTTTGTGCACATTGCCATCGGAACCTTTATCTACAATGTCTTACGACTTCCGCAAACTCCCGACAGTGTGTATTTTTTTACTTTAACCTTACTTTTACAAACTATGTTTTCGTTTGCTGACGCGTCCCGCCCAAACGTATTACGACCTATTTTTTGTGGCCTGTTACGTTGTAGGCGGCACTGCTGGCATGTGTCGCTCTACGTTCTAATTGTGCGTCGTTGCTTCCATCGTGGTTCCAACGGTGATCGTGCTCAAGGCCGCCCAACAAGGCGTGCAGTCTTGGCTGACTTACCCTATGTAAGAGGATCTGTCGATATATATATATATATATATATATATACATATATATATACATTCGGCCTTGTGAGAAAAATGCTGCATGTCGAAGCTGCGTCGTAGCTTCTCTGCGGGCGTGCTCTCAATCGCGCGCGCGGGAGTGCCGTGCTGCGCGCGGCTCTGCGAGCGCAGCCTTATAGAGAGGCTTCGGGTTCAAGCCGCGGAGCAACCTCGCGCGATCGTCCATCGCACCCCTTGCGATCGACACGACGTCGATGTCGCTCCCCCGTGCGGGTCTGCGTTCGCCTGCCAGAGCAGCGCGTCTCACAAAGGCTGGTTTGCACGGACAATCGTGCACCGCCTTTGCCTTCTGGACAATGCGATGGTCCACGCATCTTTCCACCGTGTCCTGCTCCGCGCGCGGCCGCGTTTGTTCTCCCGCGAGCGTGCTAACTTCGCGGCGCTGCAGCCGCTGTAAATGTTACCGCGCCTACGGCTCAGGGGCCAAAGCGTTGGGCGCGCGCGCAAGGTCTTGCGCGACCTGCATTTGGGAAGCCACAGCGCGCACGAGATAATTAGAATCGCGCGTTGGTTGCTGTCGGCTTGGAAGCTGCATGGGCCATGGGCAACGCAGGCCAGCAGCTGCATGCAAGCGCGACGCGCGCGCAGTTGCCTTTTCTGCCGCCCGCGAAACAAGAGCCCAGGTTTGGTTGGATATGGGCATGTTGTTCAATGGCGGCCGATAGCGGCTTGACATGCCTACGCGTGTACAGCAGCTCCGCGCGATGCCACTATGCGTGTCCAAGGTGTGCGCACGAGCCACGTGTCTCGCGCCGTCCGCATCTGATTGGTCGGGGCTGTCGCTGGGGGAGCGGGAGTGGGGGGGGGGGGGGGGCGCGTGATTATCCGACGCGTCCGTCGTTTCGTTCGACGCCGCTAGGTGGCTTTGCCCAGTGCAAGTCGGCTTGGTCTTCGCACGACGCAAGCGACCGCGCGCGCAATTATTGTTCGTTGTTGGGAGCATGGGCGCCTCCGCGCCGATATGTTCGGCAAGCTGAACCAATGGACGCGCCTTGTTGCGCGGCAGATGTCGGCTGACTCTATCGCGCGCCAGTCAGTGGAGACAGCTTGACAAGTCGACATGCGCAGTCTCTATGTCCGCGACGCTTGGCGCGCAAAGCTCGCCAAAGGGGCGCGGGTTCTCCGTTGATTGCTTTGGGCCGAACATCGAGACAAACCGACTTGAACCGCCTGCAAATCGACTTGGCCTGCGAGCAGTTCGCGCATGCGCGCGTTTCGGTATTTTGCAGCGCTCGCGACAGCCGCGCGATGGCGCCGATGCCAACAACGAGCCCGCGATGGCGGCCGAGCCGACGTCGCAATTCGCAGGGTGCTTTCGCTGGAGCACTATTTGGAAAAAGGTGCGCGACGTTCGCAAGCGCACGCGGTCGGTTCCCTGCGGTCGGCCATCCAAGAGCCACAGTGTTCGCATCGTGCCGCACATGGGGCCTTGCCGCATTGGCGGTAACCGATAGGGCGCTGAATTGAACGCGCGCCCATCGACCGCCGACCCGCATTCATGGCTGTGCGCGCAAGTCGCGGGCGATGCAACCGCTGCAATTATGAGGCCCGTTGCCCAGCTGTTGTCGCGTGGTTGCTGCGGGTGGCTTGCGGCGTGCGGCGTGCGTTCGTGGCCAATGCGCGCCCGTCAAGCATATCATTTGACCCGCCGCGGTGTCCGCCCGCGCATGCGTGCTGGCCCGCGGCGCGCATTGGCGAGGCGACGTCGTTGCTGCTCTGGCAAAGGGCATGTGAATGAGCCAGTGGCGCTTGCAGACGGAACTTCCAAGGGGGCAGTGCTGATCCATGCGCCACTGCGACCGCAGTCGGTGGGCCACGCCCTCATTCGCGCGACGTTGGTGATTTCAGTGCCCGCAGCGGAGAAGACGACATGGCCGCGTGGGAACGGTTTTGGGGCCTTGTCAAGATCCGACGGCGTACAAGCTGGACGCGGGCGCATAGCGCGCCATCGCGCATAGGATCAGCGCGCGTCGCTCGCGCGCCTGACAAGCTCAGTAGCACGTGCGGCCAAAAGGCAGCCATGCTGTCATGGACCATGCGTTCAGTTCCCCTTCGATGGTGGCATATGTTGCTCTCCGTTATCTTGCGCGCGCGCGTCGGCGAATAGTGCGGCAACATCAAGGCGAGCGCGCGTGAGCGCGCGGTGGTTTCAGTCGCGCCCACCGCATGTCGGCCGTCTCGTTTGTGTTTGAGCTGGCGCTGCTGAGGGCGTTCGACGGGATCTCCGAGCTCTCGTGGGGCGCGCGGCGCGCTCGTCAATTTGAAAGCTTCGCGGCGCGCGCGCGGTAACGCGTTGCGCGTCATGCGTTGCCCGCAGCCTAAATGCAGACATGCTGGCTTGAAGTTCAAAGTGGCGCCGTGTGCTCTGCTTATCAGAATCTCGGGTGCAGCGCGGGTCTGCAGCGCGCCAACAATGTTCGCCGTGGCTCGACGTGCGCGCTTCCTCTTGCGCGGTTTGTTTCCCATGGTCGGCGGTAGGGGAGCGCCCGAGCCTGCCTGGTAAAAGTAATGTGCGCGTCGCCTGCGGGCTTGCTTCCGACGCTTGCATGTGCGCTGCGCATTCCGACTCGCATAGGGTCGAGTAACGCAGTGCGCGCGTGTGCGCG